TTACTCTCTGTGTAGTTTCTATTCATGTTGTTTTCTTTTTCGCTGTAAATAATTATTAAAATTAAGTTTTCGTTAGTTTAATATATTTTTTATTTTATTTTGTAGACCACGTTTGAATGAATGCTAAGTCCATTCATAATGTTTTCTTAAATATTTCTATCAAATGCATATATGTTATATATGTTTTTTCCTACAATTCTATAAAAATACATTAAAATTTGTGAAATCTATGATCAACTTTGTAAAGATTTTGAAATATAGTTTCTATTATTGTTGTTGTTTAGATAATTTATACGTCATATTTCAATGCATATTCTATAACAAAAACTTAAAAAATATCCTAGATGAAATATATATTTAAACTCTCTTTAGACTTTAAAATATACTTGATGGTGCCAAGAATAAATTTTTATTTCTGATTCCAAAAATATAAAATCTCAGACATTTTCTTGCCTCAGTCTAAGTAACAAATATTATCACAGCACTTGATAGACTCTTCTGATATCATATCATGCCATATCATTATGATCACATATGATGCATATGCCTCGTTTATATTCGATTTTTAACACTTTCAGCACTTTGTGTGGTAATTGCTTATTGTTATCCTTGAAGGATGCACTGCAGTTCGTTGTTAGCACATGAATATCCTTTCATTATATAACTGTTATCCTTTTTGACTTGGTCTCACCTTAAAGGCCATTTTAATAGGTTTTGGTTTGATTTTAACTTGATTTTGGTTTGATCGACGTTCCACGAGCTGCACGCAACGGGATTCAACAACTGAATAATATGGTTGCAACGAGCCGCCGTCGCTTTTATATAGTTAGGAAGAAAGTCAGACAACAAAAGCCAACGTCGCTGTCGGCGTCGCTGTCGACGCGTCGACAGTGAACGGCGCAGCAAATGCTGATCTGTGAAATAATGTAAAACAGTTCAGTTAGTAACTGTAGTTAATGTGTGCAACTAACTCGGCATGTGTGTGTGTGTGTTGGCTACTAAACCATTATTGTTAGTATCTCAACTATGTGTAGGTGCCTTGGTTAGTTTTGCCAAACAAATACGAGTAGCTTAACATACTTTTTTTTTTTTCTTTTTTGGAGTACGTTTATAGCTATATATATGCATGTAGCCCGATCACTACATAATGCAAAAAAAACTCCTCTGCAAATCTTGTAAATTCCGAGAGCATTAAAACGCAGTTTGACCCAAATTTTGAGTTCAACTTTGCCATGATTTTGATTTCTGTGTTATTTTGTATACTCTGAAATGCGATGGAAATGGGGTGAAGAGGGTATGATGATTTTGTTGGGATTGGTGTGTTAAAAGTAAATGGAGATTTGATTTAATTATATATATATAGTATGTAGATAATCAAGATTATGTTGAGCTTCTGAGCTTCTCTTTCCCATTAATATTTGAATACATATGCATGCATGATTAGGATAATATATATGGAATGGGAATGATCATATCGCATATTCCAAAAATGCTAATAGATTCCGTCTCTGCGTTTGTCTTTATTTTGCCTGTAGATGTCTCAGAGCCTAAATATTTCTAAAATTTTAGATGAAGATAAACAACTCATTCGAAGAAGTTTTAAATCATCCATAAAATTTTGTTCAAGGATATACTATACTGTCTAGCTCATTTAAATATAATACATATATATAATCTTCTAGCCATATTTTGCGAGACTGAAGGGGTATTTCTTAGCCGGTCACACCCGTCTGCGGCACTATTATTAGCTATGCATTGTGGAAGCTGCTAAGCTGCTGCTGGTCAAGCTTTGTGTCTGCTATCGTTTACTTTTAATGCGCTAATCGTAAATTGTAAGCTGCGCATTATTTTGGTTCCCTTTCGGCCACAATAAACAATCGAGCGGACTATAAAGCCCAACTTTTGTAATATTTAAGTGTTTGCTGCTGCTGCTCAYGCTGCTGCTGGAGGCCTTTACTGCAGATAGATTTTCATTAGCTGCACGTCGTTTAGATTGTACTTCAAGTCAAAGTTAAGTGCAACATCAGCAGCAGCAAACAGCAAACAGCATTGAGAAATTGACCAATTATTTTGCGTAAATTTTCAATTGAATGATTTTTCTGGAGGCAACTGCTCCACACTGTTGGTTAATTAGCCAACGGAGCGTATACTTCATGCAGTTATTCGACAATCAGCCTTAGAAGTAATTCACATATGTCTTCGATTTGTAAATGCTTTTCGTATTACACAAAAAGTCATTTTGTTTTCGTGTACAATTTAGTTCATTTGCAGCAAATGAAGGTCTGTAATAGGTTTTTTTTGGGGCTTTGGCCTGATGTTAGACTTTAATGAGCAGTAATTCGAATAGCCTTGAATGCAGTTGAACATTTTTTTTTTGTTTTTCATTTAGATTGAAATCGTGCACAGACAGGAAATCTATTATTTGTAAATTGAAAAAGTTAAGAATATAGGACAGAGTATAAAAATAACTATAAATGGTATGTGATTGGAGTTTATAGATAAGATTTATAGCTTGCTTTGGGCACAGCTAGAAGCAACTTAACTTAGCTTAAAAAATCGCAAGAATTATCAGATGGACGTTCAAATTTCTATAAAGAAAATACATATACATATATATACTATATAAGAAAAATGCTCTATAAATGTTATATAGACCCCATTATCATGTCTGTGGACTTAGGGTATATAAAAATAGTTTCGCTATACATAATTTCTGGTTAAATATCTATTACTAGATAAAAATCACCTTCTCTAATCTCTGATTTCTTTACGTTTCTTCATCTCCCCAACTTCTAACCTAAACATCATTATCTGAACTCGAATTGAAACTATATTTCGTTTATTGACTTTTCCATTTGCATTCGTTGTCCTATTTGAATTTGTTTACCGATTCAAGTGCTGCCTTTGCTCAGCACACTCATAGCCTCAATTCTGAAGATCGTCTGGAGTTGGCCTCAGCGCAGGTTGATGTACTTTTAAATGCAGTAAATTTTTTTTCTGTTTTAATTGCTATATTTAAAGCCGACAACATTTGACAACGTTGCAAAGCATGACAAGACAAACGAGTCAAATAAACAACAACAACAACGCCAAGAAAACTGAAAATATATATATTTATATATTTTTGTTTTTCTCTAATGATTACCAATCCGCCAAATCCCGAAATCAAAAAGCATTTGCACGTACCACAACAAAAATATGGCAAATCAAATAAGTGCTTAATTATGGTCGACAAACTAAACTACACACATATGTGTATGTGTGTGTGTGTGTGCGTTGGTGTTGCTGCAGGTGAAAAATATAACGCAAGTCAACATGCCAACTTGCTGTCGTTGTTGTTGTTGCAGTTGCAGTTGGAGTTGTAGCTGGAGCTGGCATACCGAAAAGCCAACGTCTCTTTTTCGAGATGTTTTGCAATTTGGCGAAGCGACGCAAATTGAACGCAATGTTGATACAATTTTCCAGTGCCCGGTTGCCGGTGCGACTCTTTATTTTCGTTTCATGCCAAATGCAGTGCACTCCAATGAAAGCGAGCAGCAACGAAACCATATAAGTACATGTATAAGTCGAATGAATACTCTATATAAGGTTTGATATGGACAGAGTTAGAATGAGAGTGCAAGCTGAGGTTAGTGGCAAAGGGCGCGGGCGGGTGAGAGAGGATTTGTAGAGAGAAAGAAGTAAGATAGACTAGAAGAATGGATAGGAGAGTGAGATAGAAAGAGAAAGTAATTTAATTGAGGTAATCTTAACGAGATTTGTAGACGGAGGGAGAGAGAAAGTGAGAGCTACAGAGAGCGAATAACAAGGAACTGCAAAAAGAGAGATATGAAGCTGATAGAGAGTGAAAGAGAGAGAGAGAGAGAGAGAGAGAGAGAAACAGTTAGAGAGAGACAGAATAGAGTGGGAGAAAGATAGAGACAGAGAGAGAGAGAGTGAGAAATAGAGACGGAGAGAAAAATAAGTTGATAGAGAGTGAAAGAGGGAGAGAGAGAGAGAGAGAGAGCGAGAGAGAGAGAGAGAGAGAGAGAGAGGAAGGAAGATATAGGGAGAGAAAGAAGCTGATAGAGAGTGAAATATACAGAGGGAGAGAGAGTAAAACAGTTAGAGACAGACAGAATAGAGTGGGAGAAAGATAGAGAGTGAAAGAGGCGCCTGCTGCAAGCCTTAACTGATATACCCTATGTGCACTTGGTTTTTTTTGGCAAGCAAGCACAACAATAACAATACAACAGTTTTCGCTTGATTTCGATGTGTTGTTGTGCGATTTGGCTGTCTATGCAAAAGTTGTCGTCATCGTTGCAAACGCTGCTCAAATATTTTCAATTTTGTTTGCTCATTGAAGCGTCGATTGTTGCCGCTGCTATTGTTGTTGCTGCTGTTGTTGTTGCAGCTCCTGCTGGCAGCAGGTGTTAATTTTTAGTTCGATTTTTAGTCTTAGCCAAAAAAAAAAAAAAAAAACAAAAATAGTTTAGTTATAGTTTTACAGTTTTGCTACAGCCACTCAATCAAATTCCACTCACGAAAAGTGAAAAGTCACAAATGCAACTCACTAGCGCAGCTGCTGTTGCTGCTGTTGCTGCTGCTGCTGCTGCTGTTGCTGTTGCTGGTAGCAGTGCCCGGCAATTACCTAGTAACTCATATTTACTGTTGGACATTTAGTACATGCATTAAGTGCGGCTGCTGTGCATGTGCAACATGGTGAGCCGCTGTTGCCAGTTGCCCGATTGTCTGGCATTTGACTGCCTTAGTAACAGCAGCAGCAGCAGCAGTAGCAACAGCAACAACTTTTGGCTCATTGTTTCATATTTATTTGGACTCTGGCCTCCTAACGAGCCTCGGTGCAAGAGACGCGTGCATCTTTCCAAAGTTGTCGTGGGAATCGTTGTTGTTGCTGTTGTTGTAAAGCTTATCCTTTTATGCAGCACGCTTGCGCAACAGCAACAGGCATTGTTGTTGCTGCCGCCGCTGCTGCTGCTGCTGCTGTTGCACGTAATTGAAAATTACATTTTGGTTGCTTTGGCGAAAGCCTTCGAGCTATGGCATAATTTTATTGACTGCAATTCATATTCATTTATTTGAAGGCAAAAAGCACATCAGCRATTGTTGCTGCTGCTGCTGTGATTTTCTTCACGCATTGTTAATGAGTCTGCGTTGCTTTGAAGCAACTGCGAGATGCGGCGCATTGAACTTAACGTGCTGAAAATCAATTAACAGCATTAGCAACAAAGGTTGCCAGCTGAAAAAGTGCGTAGCAACATTTCAAGCAACATGTTGACAACGTCTTAAATGTTGCCATGCAGCAAGGCATTGAAAGAGAGAGAGAGCGAGATGGAGTGAGAGGTGTTGCTGTAAGTGTGATAATGTTTGAGTTGTCCATTTATTATGTACATTTCAATTAGGCAGGTAATTGATTTCAATTTCAATTTCGATTTCAATTAGTTTTTTAATTAATTATGTAATTTTAATTGGCGTATCAACAGTTTAATTTCCTTAACTTGGATCTGCTTTTTGTGTAAGTCAGCTGAAGAATTAATTGAGATAATATGATTAATATTTCACAAAGGATCAAAATGGGCTATGAAAATATGAGGAAGTTAGAAGAATGTGGGAAAAGACTGGGATTGGGTAAATGTAAGGACAGTTAGGCATCTTCCAGATGAGAATAGATAGAATAGGTTGGTTTGATTTATAGATTGATATGAGGGTATGACAGATTGATATACCCACTTATTAATTTGTGTGACTGATTGCTAGAACTATTGACT